GAGCATGGCGGATGCTCAGTTGGAGCTGCAGTCATGGCAGGAACACTGGTGCCCAGGGATTGGGGGGCGGGGTACAAATGTGAGGGCCCAGAGCTGTGGCAGGGGCGGGGCAGGTGAAAGAAAAGGTGGGGCCAAGTAACAAGGCCAGAGATGCCTTCCATCCTCCAGTGTGGGTCTCACCAGCCCCAGAGCAGCATGCAGGGGCAAGGCAGGTCCTATAAAACTTACTAGAACCTTCTGGAGCTGTGGAGAGCCAGCACAGGGAAGGCATTGGGAAGTAGCCACCCAATCCTCTTGCAGTGCTGATGAGGCCCTAGAGGAGGGATGGGACATGCCCAGGTCAGACAGCAGGTGGCCTGGTTGTCACCTCCCGGGCTTTCTCCCCCCCCTTGGTCAGGAATCCTGGGCCTCTAACCCTGGAATGCCACCCAAACCCCTGCTCCATCCAGGCCCTGGGGCCCTGCGGAGCTCTCAGGGCCTGGCTCCCAACCTGTCCAGCCACCAGGGGAACTCCACCAGCTCTCCCCGTCCTACCTCCAACCCCCGGGAGGGGGACCGCAGGGGCCTGAGGAAGTGTGGACAGCTGCTGTCTTAAGGACCCCTCTAAGAGCAGATCAGTGAGCCCTCAGCCACTGCTCCCCTGTCTAGCCCAGCCAAACTGGAGTCCGAAGAGATGGAAGGAAGTTGGGAAAGAAGTCATTCTTGAAGTAAACGACATGTGTGAGCACAGTGATGGCAGGCCCAGGTCCCCACGGGATGGCCTACTCACCCCAGGAAGGGAAACGGACTGACCCAGCGGCCAGAGGACGGGAGGATGACTTAGACAGCATGCCCACGGACACGTCCCAGAGACTGTGCTCTGCAGGTCCCGCAAGGCCTCCCTGGGCCCTGACTGCCTACCCGCCCTACCTCGCTCACTGCCGCCAGTAGGCAAAAGGGCAGAATGAAATACCTTGGAATCCTCCTGAAACAAGTTTCCAGTAAGTCCACACCACACTCATTCACTCATTTCACGAAGGTTTTATTGGGCTTCTCCTGGGTTCCGGGAGCAGGTCCCCATGCAGGACCCCAGCTGGGATCTGTCCTCAGGGGGAGCCTGAGCAGCAGCAGAGACGGAGACGGAGGTGAAGCGCACCCCTCCTGAGGCTCAGCAGGAGGGGAAGGCCGAGCGTGGAGGACACAGGAGGGCAGGGAGGACAAGGGAGGTCCCAGCTCCCTGTGAGGGTGGGTCAGGCCGAACACGGGCAGAAGTGAAGGGGTAGAGCAGGAGGGGAAGGAGAGCCGCCAGGAGGGAGCACGAGGGGAGACTGAGACAGGACAGCACGTGGGAATTCCCAGAAGCCAATGGAAAGGAAGACGAAGGGTCGGGGGCCAAGGAGGGCTGAGACCCCGGCAGCTGAGTCACCATGAGGCTGGGCAAGGGCTCAGCTAGTTCTCGGACACTTTTGGCCAGGTGTGCAGGCTGGCCCACCTCCTCCCGGGGCTTTAGGAGGCCCTCCTGCCGCGTGGCCCCGCCTGCTCCCGTGGGAAGTCTCAGCAGCCATCTCCCTGGTCACTGGGAGTTGCTCACCAGGAGAAAAGCAAAGGCTGTGCCCATCCGCCCACCAAGCCCCACATAGGGCACTGTGGGGGAGGGGTCAGAGCCTGGGCAAACCCCCACCCCCAGGCCCTCCCTCCCCCGGGGAGACAGCCCCGTGAGAATGGCCTGGGAAGCAAGAAGGCCACCCAACCCTCCCTTGGCTGAGCCAAGCCCTCATCGCCTGTCCCCTCCCCCCACCCCCTTCCAAGTTGCTCCTGGACACCAGATGGACCCAGTTCAACTTGTCCTTCCTTTTCTTTCCCCCGCCCGCCCCCTGCTGGAGCTGTGAGAGGGCAGGCAGGAAGGGGGGCAGGCCAAGCCAGCCACAGAGGCTTGGGGAACAGCCCCAGCTCCAAGCCTGGTGACCCCAGCGCAGAGCCTGCCAGGCCCACTGGGGCCAGGCCTCTGGGCCTCGGAGCCAGACTCTCACTGCTGACCCCCAGGACAGGTCAGGACAGGATGAGCAGCTGGTAGGAAGGGCCAGGTCCAGGAGGCTTTCCTCCAGGCCAGGAGCGAGCTGGTGTTCTGCCCTGGGGAGAGGGAAGGAAGGTGGAGCATGGACTCTCAGGGAGGCGAGAGGATTTAGGAGAGGGAGAAGAGAGGGATGGAGTAAAAGTTGCCAAGCCTGGGCCTGGCTTCCAAAGGCCTGGACCTGGGGTCTGTCCTCACCTGCACAAGCGGCTCTGGGAGCCAGACAGGTCCGAGCACCTTGCCCAATGTTCTGGAATCCTGAGGTATGGAATGCAGCCTATCAGCCCAGGAAACAAGCAGAGCCCCCAGAGCAGTGACAGCCCTAGGGACAAGTGCTGCTCTCCAGAGCCTCCCTGGGGCTGGATGGGGTGCGGGGTCAGGGCGGCTGGGAGGGCCGGCTGGTGAGGGGACCAAAAGGACCCGTATCCCATGTGCCCCAGACTACTCCTTCCACACACCCACCAGCTCCACCACCAGATCCCAGGCAGCACAAAGGGCTCTCCCAGCCCAAAGTGGCTTTTTCATTTTCTGAAACTCAAATATGGGATGGGGGAGGGCTGCCCCATGGCCCTGTCCCAGCTTCTGCGGGGGTGGGGGCAGGGCACAGGTCCTAGACTGGCACCCCCCCCCCCGCCCCCGGCAAGAAACCAAGGAATCAGGGCTTGAAAATCTTGCCAGCAAAAGTTGGCATTCCCCTTGCCCCTGCCCAGGAGGGGCAAACCAGAGCCCCAAACCTCTTCTCAGAGACTTGCCAAGCAGGAGGCTCCTCAACCCACACACTCCCCCAAAGGGGGGAGCAAGGCAAAGAAAGGAAACAATTTACTAACTCAGAGGTGCTTTGGGGAAGGGGGGGGCAGACAAGTGGGACCCGTCCCCCCTCCCCCAGCCAGGTTTGGCTCAGGGAGAATTCCCTAACCCACCTGAATGACCCCTACCCAGGGTGGTGAGGGGCAGTGTCTGGAGGCTGAGAAGAGCTGGGACCAGGCTGGCTTTCCTCCAGGCCAGGAGTTTCTGGGCTGTGCAGCCCCAACATCCCTGCTCCGACAGCAGAGAAATCGCCAGGCTGGGAGAAAGAGAAAGGGGGCTACGTTCAAGTGGCCCCCACCTTCCGCTCTGGGTCTTGACCTGCTGGAGTCACAGCTCCAACCGGAAGCTTATGGGGCAAAGGGTCCTGCCAGGGCCGCTAAAACTGGAGGGGAGGACCTCCGCCCAAGGCGGGGCGTGTACGCCCCGGCCCGCGGGGTCCCGCTGGGTCCTGGGTGGGGGCTCCTTGCCGGGCAGTTGACTTCTTCGGACTTGTTCCGTCCCCGTCGCCTCCGCCACCGGCGCCGCCGCCGCCGCCGCCGCCGCCGCCGCTGGGAGCGATTCGCCCTCGCCCCATCCAGCCCAGCGAGCGAGCTCCCACCTCGGCCACCGGCGCGAGCGCTGTCTCCGTCCCGGGAAGAAGTTAGGCGGCTGGTCCCCGAGGCGCGCAGCGCACGGGACGCGGGCGGCGGTGGCCCCGGGCCTCGGCCGCCGCCGCCCCAGAGAAGCCCCCGCTACTGCGAGGGCGTACGGGGAGGCTCGACTCCCCAGGCCGGGTACAAATCGCTTGAGACCGGGCCCAGGCCTCGCCCCGGAGGGCAAGGCGGGCCAAGGCGAAGCGGGGCTTGCTCGCAGCTTCGGGGACCCCAGGTCAAGACACTTCCCCGCCCCGCCACCCCTGAGCACGAGTCGCCGGCCGAGCGCCGGGCGCAGGGAGGGATCCGTTGGTCTCTGACTCGGCGGCGGGGCCGGCCAGGGCCCCACGGAGTTGGGGAGTTGCCCCGCACCCCTAAAAGCCTCAACACACATTCCCGGTTGAAAGTACGCACTTGACGCGTCCGGGCGCCTCCGCGGTGAGTCGAGCCGCGGCGCTCGGGGTCGGCGAAGGTGGCTCAGCTCGGGCGCTCCAGTCTCGACGTTCCCGGGGCAGAGAGCAACGTCCGGGGACGCACGGGACGGGTGCGCCCGGCGACCGGGGCTGCGCCGGGCGAGGAGCGCGGCGAGAGGGGAGCGCTTCGGCGTTCAGGCAACAGCTACCCCTAGTGGGAGAGCCGCCGGGGCCGCCGCCGCCCCACGCCCGCTGCCCCGCGCCCCGCGCCCGCGGCGCCCCGCGCCCGAAGCGCTCCCGGGTCGGCGGGGGCGCAGGCACGGCGCCGCTTTCCCCGGCCCTCCCCGTCTCCGGCGCCAGGCGCTAGCCGGCCCTCGGGCCCTGCCCTCCGCACCTCCCTGCTGCGCCCCGGAGGCCGCTGACCCGAGAAGAGCAGCGCCGAACAGGGACGAGATGGGACGGGGCGGGCGCGGCCGGGACGGCACGCGGCGGCCCGGGGCAGCGGCGGGGGGCGCCGAGCGCGGTGTGCGTGGCGGGGCGGTGCGGGGGGCGGCCGTGTGCGAGGCGCGAGTGTGAGCGCGCGCGGGAGGCGAGCGGGCGGGCGGGCTCCGGGAGGCGAGCGGCGCCCGCGGGCGAAGGGGAAGGCGGCGGGGGCCCGAAGTTGCCTCCTCGCGGGTCCGCGGCCCCGGCGGGGCGGGAGCCGGGGCCAGCAAAGCGGCGGCCGCGGCCCCGGGCTCCCGCGGCACCTGGGCAGCGGCCCCGCACGAGCAGCAGCGGCGGGGGCGGCGTTGGCGGCGGCGCGCGGGAAGCGAACCGGAGCTCCGGCGCGGCGCGGCGGCCGCCGGGGAGCTCCGCTCAGGTGCGCGGCGAGAGGGGCGCGGGCCGGAGGCGGGCCGCCAGGACCGAGGCCGCGCGCAGCGCTCGCGCCAGCTGGAGCGGGAGGATCTCCCCGGCGGACGCCTGGGTCCCTGGTCCAGCTGCCCGTCCCGGGCGGCAGCGGCGACCGGGGTCCCCCGCCCCCGGCAGCGGGCTTCGGGGGCCCGGCCCCGCCCCCGCCGGCCCCCGGCCGGGCCGCCCCGCCCCCGGCCGCCGGAGCCCGCCCTCGGCCCGTGATTTCTAAAGCATTGGCCGCGCCGCCGGGTGATCCCTCCGGGCTCAAGTTGCAAGGGGGCGGGCCCGGCGCGGAGGTGGAGTCTCCCGCCAATTGAAGCCTCGGCTATAAATCGAGCTCCCCGCACAGCCAAAGCCCAGATGCCTCGCCAGGCCGCCCCGCGGTTGGTGGTGGGAGAAGGTGGCGGGTCCCAGGGGGCTTCGGGGGCTGCAGCCACCATGCTCCGCTCCCTGCTGCTTCACTCCCTGAGGCTCTGCGCCCAGACGGCCTCGTGCCTCGTGCTCTTCCCGCGCTTCCTCGGCACCGCCTTCATGCTCTGGCTCCTCGACTTCCTGTGCATCCGCAAGCATTTCCTGGGCCGCCGCCGCCGGGGTCAGCCCGAACCCGCAGTGGAGCTCGACAGTGACGGCGAGGAGGTGCCCCCGGACGACCCGCCTGTCTGCGTGTCCGATGACAACCGCCTGTGCACGCTGGCGTCGCTGAAGGCCGTGTGGCACGGCCAGAAGTTGGATTTCTTCAAGCAGGCGCATGAGGGCGGTCCAGCTCCCAACTCCGAGGTGGTCCTGCCCAATGGCTTCCAGAACCAGCACATCCTTGACTACGCGAGAGGGAACCGCCCGCTGGTTCTCAATTTCGGCAGCTGCACCTGACCACCGTTCATGGCGCGCATGAGCGCCTTCCACCGCCTGGTCACTAAGTACCAGCGCGACGTCGACTTCCTCATCATCTACATCGAGGAAGCTCACCCCTCGGACGGCTGGGTCACCACAGACTCCCCCTACAGCATCCCGCAGCACCGAAGCCTGGAGGACCGGGTCAGCGCGGCACAGGTACTGCAGCAAGGAGCGCCCAGCTGCTCTCTTGTCCTGGACACCATGGCCAACTCCAGCAGCTCGGCCTATGGGGCCTACTTCGAGCGCCTCTACGTCATCCAGAATGGCACTATTATGTACCAGGGCGGCCGCGGCCCCGACGGCTACCAGGTGTCTGAGCTGCGCACCTGGCTGGAGCGCTATGATGAGCAGCTGCACGGCGCTCAGCCACGTCGAGTGTAAACAATCAGTGGGCAGTTGACTGAACTTGGCGGGCGATGTCTTCGAGCCTTCGAAGCCCACGTGCAAACGCCCCCCCAAACAAGTCAGGTTTGCGGAGGGCCCAATGACACAGCTGTGCTGAGCCGGGATCGCTGGCTGAGTCTGGGCCCTCAGCCAAGCCACCTGAAAATTCTCCCTCGCCTCCCTGGACTCTGTTGCTGTGACTGTCCCTCACCTGTACCTGCCTGGCTGGCTCGAAATCCCTTTCTGAGTGTGGATGCGATGCCAACCTTGCCTGGGTCCTCCCCTCCCCCCACGTGTCCCCGCAGAGGCCCCTGCCTCTCTCACGCCCCCTCCGCAGAGAGAAGAGCCAGTGTGCCTTCAGCCAGGCGCAGAGAGACTTCGGCCACGCCCGCGCACCCTGAGCGCAGCTGGGCTCCCGCAGCGCCTGCCGCTCGCCCTAGTTGCCTGGCACCCTACACACCTGTCGTTCGCAGGGAGGGGATGCCCCGCTGCTTTTGTGTCTATTTCTTGTCCCTGAGTTGGGGGTGGGGGCTTGGGATGGGGAAGGGTGGGCAGGGTTGTTTCCCCCCCTTATTTTGGGTGCTCACGAGCCCCACTGCTGATGACGAGCTGTCTCTAACTGGTCTTGACCACGAGCTGGTTCTGAACTGCAGGGGGGCTTGCAGCAGCGCCTAAAACGAGAGAGGGAAAGTACTCTGGGTTTCCGTGAGGAGACCGCCATAAAGGGGGTGAAAGAGGGCGGCTGGGGGTACTGTTTCGGGACCAGAGGAAGCCGGCTTGAGAGGCACTGGTGAGGTTCGCAGCGCCCCAGGGAGAAGGAAGAGGCCCGGGCTCCTGGGAAACGGGGTGTGGGTGGAGGAGTCCGCGGGAAGAGAGGTGAGGGGGGAGAGCCTGGAGACCCCGAGTGAGGGGTCTCCTCGGCAGAGCTGCCGACTGTGGGGCCAGGAAGTGGGAAGCCCCTGATTCGAAGGCCATTTTTGAGTGTTTTGCTGGAAATACTCTGTATATAAACTTCTTTTACGCTACCATAATAAAAGCTTGAAGTAAACTGCTTTCGGGTTGCCTTTGGTCCCTTTATTTTTTTCTCTCTCTCTCCTCTGAATAGCGGCAGGAATTAAACACAAATCTCTCCCCCGCGTCCCCATAGTGACCCTGGGGGGAAGGGTGGCTGGAAGGACCCGACGCCGGCAGGGGCGCGGGAGGGCAAGGAATAGGTAAAGGGGACGGTGAGGGTGCCCAGGAGTGTACACATGCACGCACACACGCACGGTGGAGATGTGGGATCGGGAGAAAAACCGAGAAGCCGAGCCGGGCGGGGTCCTGGAAGGAGGCCCGAGAGGCAAGGGGGTCCTTACTTGCCGCCGCGCGCGCTTGCGCTCACGCACAATTACAGCTGCCCCTGCAGCCGCCCGTCTAACTTCTCCGAGTGATGGTGTGGGGGAGGGGGCGGTGTGGAGGATAAGGGGGGCTATGGACCAGGTAGGACTGCGCTCCCGACCACCGCGGGCGCCTCCCCACACCTGGCTCCTCCCTAGCCCCCTCCCCGCACCTGGCTCCTCCCTAGCCCCCTCCCCGCACCTGGCTCCTCCCTAGCCTCGTTCCCCACCCGGCTCCTCCCTAGCCCCGTTCCCGCACCTGCAAAATCATCTCCCGCTCGCCTCCAATCCCCGTCTGGCTGCTGGGGTCCGCGGGAGGTGCGACTAGCAAAGCGCACGATGGCGGAGGGAGGGCAGACGGGGAAGGGAGGGCGGGCTTGCAGCGCCACCACTCCAGCAGCAACACCTACTGCGGGGCGGGGGTGGAGCGGGGTGCACCCCCTGCCCAGGACACCCCCTCCTCCTGCCCCTCCTCCGCTTCCCCAAGTTCGAGCCAGACCTCACCACCACCACCCGCGACGCGCTCGGGGCTGGGAAGTGGAGCAAGGGAGCGAGATGGAGGAGCGGAGAGAGACCGGAAAGAGGGGGAAGGCTGTTGCTGGGACGGGGGCTGGGGGGAAGGGGGCCGTGGCGTGTGGCACCGCTCTGCGTCCGCAGTCCAGGCCGGGCGCTCCCGCGCCATCCCGGCCCTCGCTCTGTCCCCTGCTGCTCCCTGGGGGAGGGCGACGCTGGGAGCACTGGATTAGCGCGGCCCCCACCTCCCTCTGCTAGCGACACCTGGAGCGGAACAGTGGGGGGGGGGGGGCAGAAGAAAGCGCTAAGACGAGTCTGCAGAACGCGAGTGGGGGAAGCGAGGCAGCCGAACTTCTCCCGCCCGGGAACCCAGGACCGTCCGGGTCGCGGGATGGAAAGAGAGAGTGTTAGTGAGCGCCTGAGTGTGAGCAGCGCGCACGTGGGAGGGGGTTCTGCAGGGGTGAGGGGGGTGCAGCAGGCGGGTGGAAGAGAGGCCCCTGCTCCACCAACGCCGCCTCCAATTCCGCGCCCAGCCCCCACACTGCTCCTCTGTGAAAAGTTTTTGGAACTGACACCCTGAGCTGGGATTTTTTTTTTTCTTTGCTTTAAAAGTATTTAAATTGAAAAAATAATTTTAAGAAATAATTGGCACAGATGGTATTTCTGCATCTCCTCCCCTCCCCCTCCCCCCCAACGCTGCCTCTCACCCCAAAACCCCCAGGAAGAATCCGGAGCCAGCCGCACGGACGCGGCTGGGCGCCGGGGAGGGCCTGCCCCGAGCTCCGGCAGGCGCTGGCCCCGGTGCGGATTTGGTGGCCTGGAGGCAGCGGAGGGCGGCCCGGGACCGCCGGCAACCGCCGCGGGGCCCCACGGCCGGCCGCGGCCGCTCCGGGTCCTGGCCGGCCGCTGGGGGGTCCAGCTGTACGCGCTGCGCGACCTCCCTTCCCCACGGAGCCCGCTCCCCGCCCCGCCTCCCCCGGCTTCGTCTGGCTTCCCGGACCGAAACTCGGAGCACTGGGCTCTCGGACCTGCGGCTCCTGCCTCTGCCCACGCGGCCGGCTGGCTCCCCGCTCCAGGGGGGGTCCGGCACCCCCCCAACTTCTCTTCTTTCTCTTCTCCCTCCCACTCTCCCTTCCTCCCCTTCATCTTTCCCTTTCTCTCTTCCTTCTCCCTCGTTTCTTCCTTTCTTTCTTCTTTTCTTCTCTCTTCCTTTAAAATCTCTCCTTCTTACAAAAACAGTGCGTGCTCATCGAGGAAAACTCAGAAGAGTCAGGAGAAAATAAAGCCAACCCAAGGTAACCTCAGGGTGTGAGCACTTTCAAACATGCCTCTCCCTGCCCCCCCCCCACATTTGTAAATATATATTTTAATAACAAGAGCCGGATTATTGTAGCCTGACATTAATTTTTGACCCCTGGCGCCCTCTTTCCTTGTCAATAAATGTCTTGAATGGCACCACTGCCACACCATCGAATGGACAGCCAGGGGGGCTCCAGAGTGCTTGGGGTGTGAGGGATGTTTCATTATTATAAGCAGAAACGCAGTGAGCAGCTTGTGTTCACAGTCCTGCCCCACTTTACCCCACTAGCACATTCCTTCCAGGGGAAATCGCTGGGTCAAAACACATGCACATCTTTAAAGATGTCTGGTTTGCCAGGTTTTGCTAAACTGCCTTCCAGAAAGTCTACTTGATTTTATTGTTTCGTGTCTTCCCAGTGCTGTCTCTTCTTTATTTTTAAGTGAAAAATATGACGATAATGCATAAATCCATTCCCGGTAGTAAATTTTAAATACAGAAGAGGGGGAGGAGAAAGTACAAGCCTCACTTAGAGCAGGATTTTTCAAACTGCAAGTCAGGACCCAGCAGCGGGTCATGAAATCAACTTACCAGATCAAGTCAAGCATTTTGTAAGAACTGAGATAGAATAAATACAATGTAACTACCAGCATACATTTCACCTAAGGTAATACAGTTTCCTGAAACTTCTGTTTGGGGGGGGGGGGGGCTGTGTGTGTGTGTGTGTGTGTGTGTGTGTGTGTGTTTACAAGGTGGCTGATGTGAAATGTATTCTTCCTGAAGGAGGAATCAAAAATGTTTGGAAATGTTTGAAAGCCAACGCCTCAAAGTTCCCATTCATCAGGGATAGCCCCTGTGAACTGTTGGGTGTGTTTCCTTCCAGACTCTACTTCGCCTACTGACAATGGCATTTGAGTACATTCCCAGATATAGGTTCCATAATCAGGATCACGATGCACAGTGCTTGATGACCGCCCCCACCACCCCCACACACCTTTCTCCTGCCAGTCCCTACCCGGCACCCTTTACCCATCCATACATCTAGTCCAAGCAGCTCCATGCTGGCTAACTTGTGCCAGATCCGTGGGTTGCCTGAGCCCCTGCCCCCGCCTCAGGAGACACTCTGCCCTCAAGGAATGCTGGATCAGTGGGAAGGAGGGGGTGAGACAGCCATTGTTCTTATTGTTTTTGTTTTTGTTTTTTTTAAGATTTCTTTATTTGAGAGTAAGAGCATGGGGGGGAGGGGCAGAGGGAGAGGGAGAGAGAATCTTAAGCAGACTCTGCACTGAGCATGGAGCTCCCCCCGGGGGCTCGATCTCACGACCCTGAGATGATGACCTGAGCCGAAACCAAAAGTCAGACCCTTAAGCGACTGAGCCACCCAGGCGCCCCACTGTTCTTATTGTTACCATCACCATCATCCTCATCATTAGTGTTTCTGAGGTTCACTGTCAGCTTAGCAATATGGTGCAGGGAGAGGGAGGAGGGGCATTAAAAGAGTTCATAGAGAGGGTCTCATGTGTCCCTTGAAGGCACAAGTGTCTCATCTGGGAAGACACAGAGGGAAGGGCATCCTTGGTGCAAAAGCCGAGGGGGCCAAGAAGGGCAGGTTGTGTTCAGAAAACAAGAAACCCCCATTGTGGCTATAAAGCAGAGGGGGGCATGATGGAGAAGGAGGGGCAGTGAGGAGGGTTGGGGCCACTTTGGGAACCTAGGCCACAGCTTGAGGTCTCTGCTGAGCCTCAGGGATGGGAGCTTTAGACAAGAGAGCAGGGAAGTCAGAGGGAGAGGGGAAGGAGCAACAGACACCTGGGGATGGGGGTGGCTGGGCACACTGTCCATCCGCCACTGACGGAGGGTACAGGTACACTTGCAAGAGTCAGCCTGCCATCTGCCCTTGGCCCAGCAACTGTCCTCTAGGCGTCTACCTGCAGGAGATAGACTACTGGGCACAGAGGGAGGGAGGTACCAGAGGACCATGGCCTCTGCCTTATACCATGCAGATACCCCTCTACAGAGAAGTGATGTCCCAAACCACGGGGCGACCCACATGTGAAAGAGTGAGAAGTGATATCTGAGTGTTTGCTGTAGGGGCCAGGCACTGGGCAAAGGGCTGTATCAGGATTATTCAATTTGGTCATCCTAATAACCCTCTTAGATCAATACGATTATTAGCCCCATTTCACTGATGCACAAACTGAGGCTTGGCAGGGTCAGAGACAGCTGGGGCCAAGATGTTATGGGCTGAATTGTGTCCTCCCCCAAAATTCGTTGTTCAAGTCCCTAGTACCTCCGAATGTGACCTTATTTGGAGATAGGATCTTTAAAGAGCTTAAGTTAGGATGAGGTCATTGGGGCGGGCCTTGATGCAGTATGACTGGTGTCCTTAAAAGAAGAGGAGATGGGGACCCAGACACACAGAGGGACGGCCATGTGAGGACACGGGGAGAAGGCGGCGGTCTACATGCCAGAGAGAGAGGCCTCAGGAGAAACTCGCCCCTCCGACACCTGCATCTCAGATCTGCAGCCTCTAGACGTGTGAGGAAATACTGTGTTGGTTCAGCCCCTCAGTGTGTGGTACCGTGTTATAGCAACCCATACACAGGCCATGGATGAGAAAGTGGCTTTGACCACAGGCCTCTCTCACCCTGGTGCTGGGGGGTTAACACCAGGCTGCACCGCATCCCTCAAGTGGCCAAAAGGAATCAGGGCGCTTGAGATTTCCCCAACCCAGACGCGTTCCTTCCTCTGTTGTTACATGAAAATGCAGCTTACAGGACAGTGGGTCTGAATTGGGCAGTGAGTGTGTGTGCTCTTTTTTTAATATCTGCAAAGACACGCACACAGGCAGCTCTAGAAAAATCTA